ACCACTTGACCACTTGCCTGCACCACTTGACCACTTGCCAACCTTCTAGAAGGACTGCAGCTAGCCTTCTAGTCTATAGGTCTACGGATCGAATCCTGGCTACCTATAGACCTACGACAGACCTACCTACCACTGGCGGTTCTACAGGTCGCAGGTTCAACTCTTCGAGTTGACGCTGGTATTGTACACAGGTAAGTTGGGAAACTAGGGATCGAGCCCTGGGATCTACCTCAGCTACCACGAATTGGTGAATACCGTTTCATTAGGACTGGCATGGAAATTGCAGTTTGGTTGTTTGCCTGCGTTTTCCTCCCACCCAGCCCCCTGTCTGTTTTCTCAGCTTGGTAAGTGCCACGTCAGCAGTGCCATGTCAGTTGCAGGACACGTCAGCAGTGCACGACGGTTGCAGGCCACGTCAGCAGGGTCACGACAGAGCAGTGCCACATCAGCAGCAGGGCCACGTCAGCAGTACCGTGTCATCGACACCGTACAGCTAACCGCAGCGTATGCTCCGACGCAGCAGCCACATCGCAGCACGTGAAGGGCGGGCAGCCGCAGCAGAACAGCAGCTACCTCTGCCCCACCCCTCTGAAATGGACAACCCCACGGTGGACAATGCCGCATCAGGCAGTCCACGTGAGGCGTGCAGGTCGAACCCCCCAGCCCCACAGGCCCAGCAGGAGGGTTCCACGGCGACTTCTGCGGGAACCCTTGACGCTGCACCAGTCCGGCAGCAAGGAGAGACCATGACGGCCTTCCTGGCCCGCCTGGGCACCTATATGCAGCAAGTCCAAGAGGAGCAGCAACGCGAGGCGGCAGCCGAAGCAACACGCCTTAATGCCATTGCACGCGCAGACGAGCAACGACGCTGGCAGCAACCTGACGCAGCTCCCAACCACAACAAAGCTCGAAGAGATGCCGCGTCTGTCCTCATGCAGCAGGAAGCCGCTCATACCGCCGCACTCTAGGCATGGCATGTGGATTCGACGGAAACGACGAAACCAACTACGGAGGACCAGACTAGGTCAGCTCTCGCCAGCATGATGCACCAAGTCATCCTCACTTGTAACTGGCAACAAGTGGAGCTGGCTCGGCAGGCACGTACCATTACTAAGTACGAGGAGACTCTCAAGAGCCTCCACGCCTGCCTTGACGTGCTGGAGAAGGATGACGTGCCGCACAGGCACACGGCATCGTCAAGCATAGATCCACGAATCCGCGAGCTGGAAGAACGACTGGATCACCTAGTCGCGCTTGTCGGCAATTTGAACAGTTTCCGACACCCGACAACCATCAGCCAGCAAATAGCCGCCCTACAAGCGGACCTGCGTCAACTGCAGCAGCAACCAACTGGGACCTGCAACAATGTGATGCCGAAACGATTCAAGATGCCGAAGTTCAGCATCGACAAATTTGACGACTACCACAAGGCGGACCCCATCAGTTGGTGGCAAGGGTTCACCAATGAGCTCTCCATCCACTTGGTCCCGCTCGAGTCGAAGATCTCAGCACTTTACCTCTGCAGCACCGGTGCCAGCCAAGTGTGGCTCAATCACCTAGCTCAAACCGAGGGCGTCGAAGTCTCTAAGCTTCACACCAAGATCACTTGGGAGGCCATGACTGAGAAGTGGTGGAAACGCTTCATCGTCGACGACGCTCAGGGCAAAGGCATGAACCGGATCTTCAGCATGCATCAAGGCAGCCAGCTAACACGAGAATGGCTAACCGAGTGGCAGAAAATCGTGACGATTCCGAATTTGGACATCCCATTCGTACATCTTCGTCGCGAATTCTTCCAGCGGTCAGTTGACGCGTTGAGCATGGCCCTTGGGGAGCGCAGCCTGTGCACGGACTTCGACCAGATCGTGGAGAATGCACGCGAAGTCATCCAAACCAATCGGTGGGCAGCCAACGAGCGGCGAAGCCAACTGACTTTGTGGAAAAGGGCAAAGACTCGCGGCCGCAGCAAGTCGCTGCTGTCCAAGGTCATGGACAAGAGAACGACCAGGCGATGACTCACGAGTCTAGTGAAGGAGACGGAGTCAACGCCCTTCCGCCATGACGCAACAACAACAACAACAACAACAACAACAACAACAAGAAGGCGAAATCTGCGTCAACAATGGAAGCCGAACAACCGAATGAGCCATGGAAGAAGTTCAGCCTCACGGAGGAGCAATACAAACTCCGCCAGAGGTGGAACTGTTGCTACTAATGCAACGACACCAAGCATACAACGTCACAATGCCCTGACAAAGGCAAAGAAGACGCCCGTCCATGGCAAAGCTTGGGAAACTGAGCTTCGCGGGAAGTGAGGCGACTCAACTTCCTACTTCGCCGGACACGGTTGGCTTGCTAACAACCTCCTCCACGTCCGGGGAACATGTGTATGTCGCCAGTCTTCCCGAAGATTATGAAGACTATGTTGTCCAACTGGTCCCGCCGTTGGACCAACCTCTCCACGTGCAAGACTCATTTGCGTGTGCGACTTCATCACCATCGCCAAGTGAACCAGCATCCTCGCCAACATCACTCGGGGACTCGTCGGTGTGGTCTAGACTTGAGGAACTCGACCATTGACACCGGAGGACTTCCAATGGTTACCTCTTCCCCCATCTGGTTCCTTCTCGAGGCCGCATTGCAACGCCCTAATGGCGGAGCTACGCAACTACTTGCACGCAGCAGTACCAGCTTCGTTGATGGAAGACGGAGTAGCGGTTGTTGACCTTCGCGAGTACATTGCGAAGATTGACCGCGAGTACGCCACGCAACGGTACGACAACACCGACGCACCGTTACTCTACGTCCGCATTCAGATCGGGAAGGCGACCTGCAGCGCCTTGATTGATTGTGGAGCTACTCGCAACTACATCAGCCAGGATTTCATGACCCGCGCCGGCCTTGGGCCGCGCGTTCGAAGGAAATGGCAGCCCACACAAGTCACGTTGGCCGACGGTCGTATGCACAAGTCCATCAACCGGTGCATTGACTCCGTCCCCGTGTATTTCCCCCCGCTTGCACGCGAGGCCGTGTCCTTTGACATATTGGCACAAAGTTTGACATGATCTTGGGCATGTCATGGCTGCGCAGCGAGGACCACCCGGTGAACTTCTACCGTTGCACCGTTCACGTCCGTGACCGGAACGGCGTACTTGTACCATGTACGGTCCCCCACCTCATCCTTCGATTGGTTGTCACGTGGTCTCTGCGGCAAGCATTCGCAACTCCATCACATGGAACAACGTGGAGGAAATGGGCATTTGTTTCTTGCACGCCCTCCCTCCTCCCGACGAGCCAGCGGCGGAACAGCCACCGGATCCACGCATTGTACAGCTTCTTGACGCCTATGGCGACGTTTTTGAAGCCCCCGCCGGAATCGTACCAAATCGACCAATTCGTCACGAGATCATCCTCGAAGACGGGGCCGTACCTCCGCGCGGATGTATTTACCGCATGAGCGAGGAGGAACTCGAAGTGCTTCGAACGCAACTCGATGACCTCATTGACAAGGGCTGGATTCGCCCTAGCTGCTCGCCCTACGGTGCACCTGTTTTCTTTGTTCGGAAGAAGAACAAGGAGCTACGCTTATGCATTGACTATCGCAAGCTTAATGCTCAAACCATTAAGAATGCCGACCCGCTCCCACGCATCGACGGTCTTCTCGAATGCTTGGGCGGCGCCAAGTATTTCTCCAAGTTGGACCTCAAATCCGGTTACCACCAGCTCGAGATCCATCCAAGAGATAGGTACAAAACCGCGTTTAAGACACTGTACGGGCACTTTGAGTGGGTCGTAATGCCATTCGGCCTCACGAATGCCCCGGCCACCTTCCAAGCGACGATGACAACGGAGTTTCGCGACATATTGGACCGGTTCGTGCTCATCTACCTCGATGACATCTTGGTGTATAGCCGAACTTTGGACGAGCACATTGTGCATCTACGTGCTGTTTTGGACAGGCTACGTACGGCCAAGTACAAGGCCAACCGAGCCAAGTGCGAATCTGCATAGCAAGAGCTTGAGTACTTGGGCCACTTTGTGACGCCGCAAGGCATCAGTCCGCTTGCGGACAAGATCAAGGCCATCCAGGATTGGCCGGAACCGACCAACACCACGGAGGTTCACTCTTTTATGGGATTGGCCGGGTACGGAGGTTTGCTCTTTTATGACATCTTGGTGAATAGTTGAACTTTGGACGAGCACATTGTGCACCTTTGTCCAGATTGCAGTCTCCACAGGTGCCCTTCCAGTTCACCGACGAAGTCCGCAGTTCGTTCCACAAATTGAAGACGGCGTTGCTCCTCGCTCCCGTCTTGAGTATCTACGATCCCACCTTGCCTACGAGAGTGACCACGGACGCTTCCGGCTACGGCATGGGTGCAGTTTTGGAACAACACGACGGAGTAGATTGGCATCCGGTTGAGTACTTCAGCCAAAAGGTGCCTCCCATCAACTCGGTTGATGATGTGCGGAAGAAGGAGTCGCTTGCGTTCGTCACGGTACTCAAGCGTTGGCGACACTTCCTCCTCGGGCGTCGTAGGTTCACTTGGGTGACGGATAATAACCCATTGACCTACTACAAGACGCAAGACACGGTGAGCAGCACGATTGCTCGGTGGATGTACTTCATCGATCAGTTCGACTTCACACCGAAACATATCCCGGCCCTCTCCAACCGAGCCGCGGATGCTTTCTCGCGAAGATCAGATCTTTGTGCAGTGACTCACCACACGTTCAGTTTCGACGAAGCCCTTCATCAACATTTTTTGCGAGCATACAAGTCCAATCTGGAATACGACACGCTCTACGAGCAACAATCCTCGGATCACCCGCCGGCCAGCCACCATCGCATCGTCGATGGCTACCTGCTGCTTCACTCACGAGGCAAGGACTTACTATGTGTCCCACACGACCGCCTCTTACGGACTCGTCTCCTCGGCGAGTACCACGACTCGAGACTCGCCGGCCATCTCGGAGTCAACCGTACGATCGCAAAACTTCAGTAGTGATTCCGGTGGCCCGACCTCATTATCGACGTCACCCGGTATTGCGACTCTTGCGAAGTTTGCCGACGAAGCAAACCCCGCAATCGCAACCCCTACGGTGAGTTACGCCCGTTGCCTATTCTACGGGAACCCGACCTCTCCATTGCCATGGACGTCACCAGCCCATTCCCCGTGGACCGCTTCGGGCACGACGACATTCTCATGGTCGTTGACCGTTTGAGCAAGTACGCACGATTTCTTCCTTGCAAGTACCACGCCACGGCTCCGGAACTTGCACGCCTCTTACACATTGGCTGGATTTGCGGCCACGGCGTTCCGGAAGACATCGTTAGCGACAGCAACACTCGGTTCATGTCGGCATTTTGGACCTCTGTCATGAAAGAGTCCGGCACCGAGATGAAACCAAGTTCGGCTCGGCATCCGCAAACGGACGGGCAGACGGAGCGAGCACATCGAACCGCTCAAGTAATGCTTTGCACACTCATCCGTACGGATCAGAAGGATTGGGTGGACTGCCTCCCCGACATCGAGTTCGCCTACAACACTTCGGTGCACCCGACGATCGGCGTGACTCCGTTCGAGTTACACCACGGTGGCCGGAAAGGCTGCATCTTCGCTAATCTTCCTTTTCCAAGGACTGCCGACATTGACGCTGCTTGTTCGCCCGCCTCCATTCGGAAGTATAGGGACTTGCTGGCTAAAGCCCGCGCCAACATGCAAAAGGCTCAAGTCCGCATGCAACAGCAAGCTAATAGGCGTCGCGTGCCATGTCCCATCCGCACCGACGACCTTGTTTGGGTCTCCACGGAAGAGTTTGCACTCGAGCAGGATGTATCCCGCAAGCTACTTCCAAAGTGGTTTGGACCATGGCCCGTCACATCAGCCGCGGGGATGACCCCGATGGCCCCTCATTTGTGAGCGAAATCCCGCCGCATCTCATGGTGCACCCGGTTTTCCACGCCTCCAAGCTGGCCACATATACACCAGTCAAGAGCGACGACTTCCCGGGACGACGATCACAGGACCCTCCTTCCATGGATGGTCATCAGGAAGTCGACCGCCTCATCACGCATCGCAAGCACGACAACAAGCCTATGCAGTACAAAGTCACATTCAAGTGGTGCGACCCCGATGACACGCGATGGATTTCCCGGGCAGCTTTGCAAGCCTCCACTCCTGACATCTATGCTCATTATGAGAAGAAACAGCTAGTGACGGAAGCTGCACAACCTGCCACCCGGACTTCAGTCCCTCCCGCCACCAGACAGCTTCGCCCTCACAGGTACGCTCGGTCTTTCAAGGAGGGGGGAGTGTGGCATACTCCGTACCACACGGGCCCAACAGAGCCCGACCTGGTAGACTAAGGGTCCGTAGGGGTAGGGCCTGTTTCAGGCCCTGTGTCATTTCGACCTCCAGCCTAAAAACGACGGGCCATTTTTCAGGCCCTCGCAAGATCGACCTACCCTGAAACTCAGGCACCAGACCGGGGTTTTGGCTCAGGCCATCATGGCCTATTTTGTGGAGCGTCAACCCCAGGGTCTGGCACATTTTGGCATAGGCACGAGCAGCCTCTCGGATGGGCCAGCACTATGTAATGTTGACTCGCCCTGTAGGCTGCAGGCAGTTCCCAGGCACTTCACGTGCAGAGGGCAGGAGGTAGTCTTCAGGACTCGGCAGCGGCACTCTGGAGGAGTGGTAGCGGTACTAGTAGTCTTCAGCGTTGGGTGCTAGTAGAGAGAGAGAGAGAGATGGTTGGCGGAGGCCAGGGAGACTCACCTGCGGTGCCATAGCTCCAGCTTCGTCTTCGGTGTACCTGCAGCCAGGCGCCACCTTC